GCTTTATTATTATTTTTGGTATGTAAACTGAATATATTTCTGTAAATATAGCTGCTGGTTTCCTTTTCTCTGCGGTCATGTTCATCAACGTCATGCCCTACTTCATTTTGGTTCTTTTGAATCAGTCGCACGTTACAACACCCAGCACAGCACAGCACCCCAGCACCCACACTCGGGATACAGACAGTCCATTGTCCAGCATAATTGGACATTTGTTTTGTCTAAAAAGGAGTGTTTTCTGTAGCACTTGGTATATATTTTCCTGGCCGCTCCTCGGCCCTTCAGTTGCATTACACGATGTCTTCCATTGAAGAGGAAACTCTGATGGCGACTAGTGGTTCAGATTTCACGTCGGAATCTGAACATAGTTCAGAAATTGAAACTTGTGACAGCGATTCTAACGGGCAACCACCGTTAGCGAGGCTGCCAAGAAGAAGGTCAAGACTTCGTCCATTCAATGGATGGCTGATGACAACTTCCCCCGCCGACATGACTTTCAAGGCATAGTGGGTGTTCAGGTGCAAGAAATGGACAAAAACAGCACTCCTGTTGAAATCTTCGAGCAGTTCTTCACACCAGAGTTGACGTTGCACATAGTCAACGAGACCAACCGCTATGCCGCTGAACACCCGAAAAGTCAAGCAGCAAGTCCAAGTCACATGAAAAGCTAGTTCGACACAACACCAGACGAGATGTCAGTGTTCCTGTCCATGATCATCATCATGGAACTGATGCCGAAACCCGACTTGAAGTCCTACTGGATGAGAGACTCAATACTTGAGACTCCGTTTTTCCCTAGTACCATGCCCCACGACAGATTTATGGACTTGCTGTCCCATCTGCATTTCGTCGATGACAGCCGTGCAGATACAACCAATCAACTCTACAAGCTCTGCCCGGAGATAGACGAACTGACCGAGAAGTTCAAGTCCATCTACATTCCGTCTAGCAACATTACTACCGAAGAGTCCCTTTGGAAATTCAAAGGGAGACTTAAGTTCAAGCAAGAAGCATGCAAGGTTTGGCATCAAGATGTATCAAGTCTGCCAGAGCACGGGAGTTGCCGCTGGATACACCTGGAACTTCAAGGTTTACACCGGTCAAGACCAGGCTGTTGGACTGGCAAGTACGAAAATCGTACTTGACTTGAACGCCAATCTTCTTGGCAAAGGGTACACCATTTTCCTGGACAACTGGTTCAGCAGCCCCCAACTGTACCTGAAACTACATGGCGAGAAGACGAACGTCGTCAGGACGGTGAGAAGCAATCGTCAAGACATGCCCAAGGACTTGTGCTCCTTGAAACTCAAGAGAGGTGATGTTGCTTACCGCTCTTGCGACCAAGGCTTGCTTGCCTTGGTCTGGCAAGACAAAAAAGATGTCCGTATGCTGTCCACGATGCATACAGCTGAGATGGCCAACACTGGAAAGCGGAACCACCACGGCATTGCTTTGGAAAAACCCAGGTGTGTACTCGACTACAATGAGGGGATGAAGGGTGTGGACATTGCAGACCAGCTGGCATCGTCGCACCGTTCAGTAAGAAAATCAATCAAATGGTACAAGAAAGCGTTCCTATTTTTGCTTGATATTGCTCTTGTAAACTCTTATCTTGTGTATAAGGAAATTGGTGGCACCGAGAGTTTTCTGACATTTAGACACATGTTGGTGAGTGAAATCTTAGAGTTGCGTGCACCAAATTTGCCAGTGTATTGATCTAGAGGTAGACCAACCCGTCTTCCTGGTCCAGGTAGACTGATAGGAAGACATTTTGTTGTAGAAATTCCCCAGACTGGAACACGAGCTAGATCACACAGACGTTGTGGTGTTTGTTTTTACACAGAAACAATAAGACTAGATTTATGTGTGAAATTTGTGAAGTAGCACTTCGCCCTGCTCCTTGTTTCAAGGTTTATCACACTTGAATCATTTGCTTATTTATGCCATGTTTCCAGTTTTCCCAGAAGTAGTAAATGAAATAGTACATGAAATTTTGGGGCAACTCCTTCAAGGTTTATTATACTTGAATCAATTATTCATGTACAATTACCTGTATTCCAAGACATCGTGTAGCGCAACTACTCTATTTTTTCTTTCCCTTTTCTGCCTAAGTTTTTTTACAAGAAAGTCATTTCAATTCTAAAATTCAGTTTGAATTATTGTAAATATATGTGCATATGAGAAGAGAAGTGAAAAAACAAGAAATGACAAGTCGTCAAGAGAAGAAGAAAGCTGAGAAATTGTCTTGTGTTTTTCTTTTGTCTGTTTTTTTATAATTATGGGAAAGATTATTTGGGGAAGGAAATTTTCATTGGATGGTTCCAAGTTTAGTTAGAAAGGGGCTGTGTTAGATACACTGTATATCATTACATTCAGAAAGGGGGTTTGAATATAACTTGCAAAAAACAAAACTTAGAAATATGCAAGAAAATAATGTACGTACATAGCGCAAGATGAAAAATGGGCAAATTTTACGGGTAATATTGACTGGGTGTTTGATGAAATAAAAACTTGTGAAGCGCACTCTATGTAAAGTGGGGGCTGGGCATTGATGCTGGGCATGCATGGACTACAGGGGAGCGGGAACACCAGCCACGGTGCCCGCCTGTGGCAAGCCTAGACCTTGTGAACTTAGTGGGCGCTGCATGCTTTGCTGTGTCCGCGCGTCATTGGGTAGTTAGTGTTGTCGCGTGGGTAATAACAAAGACCTTGAAAAGTACCTGACATTGATGCTGTCTCTTAGGGAGAACCCTCTGTCAACAATTTAGGGAGAACCCTCTGTCAACAATTTAGGGAGAAAATGTTCAAAATAGAAATTCTGTACCTAAGAAATTGATGTCTGGATGAAATTAGGATTGAATGGCACATTTATAGTGACCGATTGTTTGGGAGACCACACAAACAGAATGTATACTTAAACTCCTGTGACATACAGTACATTGTTACCTGAGTTGGGGTATGGTAGGCATGAGAATTTTTTAAGCCTATTTGTCCATGCTTGTCAAAGTTGAGATATGGAACATTTGATTTTTAATTGCCAGTTTACAATATCTGAATCTTTAAAAGAATAAGGAGTCTTTTGTTCAATTTACTTAAGTTCATTGTTGTCTGTGATGAATACACCAACATTTGTGACGCGCTCTACAGATATGTTTTCACATTGCATTGTGAGGAAGTGTGGTTTATTTATTTTATTCATGTAACTTTTCGAATGTATTTATGAGTCTAAAATAAGATTGATTTATATTTTTATGAAAATGATAAACATGCACTTAATGTTTATTAGTATCCATATGCAAAAAGACTTACGTATAATGGATGTGTGTTTGAATTTGTTTGCATTTAAATTATTGTAATTTTTAATTTTTGAACTTTGCTGGAAATGTTAAGAGTAAAAAGTAACACAATAAAAGTTGTGTTTAACAGGTTTGATTGATAAGTTATATTTAATAATTAATTCCTGAGATTTTTTAACTTGCTTTTTCTCAAAATAAAATTAGAATAGGACTTATTTATTTAGGATTTATTTCACAAAATCCGCAATGTATTTGTTGCGCCATGTTTATTTACGTTCTGTCTCATTCAATTGTCAAAAGTTTTTAGCTCCTCCAAACTCAACATTCAAGAGTCTAGTTTCTGCCTCACTGGCAAATGTTTGGGAACAGTCTCTTTGCATTACCGTGTATACCGTGCAATAAATCAGTGATGAAACGCCTTTGTTAACCAGTGAAACATAGTAAGTACCGCAAGCACAGTCACGGTTGCTAGGGTAAGTGCGCCCTCTCTTGGTCCAGCTCGAGGCCCATAACGCTCAACTCTGTTAGGTCCCTTTGAGAAGGCTATAACGGGAATTTACTGTAATTCAGCAGTTCTGTATTCAGTGTTGGTCTCCAACCTCCACCATAGCCAGCTTTGATTTCGGCTGTCGCATTGTATTTTGCTCAAAACCAAGAAACATAGTGCCTTGAAATTTTAATGCTATCTTCCTCAAGAAATCTTCTGGATATTCCAGAGATTTAAAGTACTTTTGTCTCAGACTGATTTTCCTCCACTCTCCATATTCAGAGATGCGCATTGTTTGAAACCATGGAGAACAAAAACTTCCTGATGTCTATATGTACATGCACAAATACTATTTAATGAAGAACGCTTGCAAAATTATTTCCCCACTACCAGACAAAAACTGTGAAAATCTTTTCCCACTTGTGAGAAAAAGTGTGAAAATCTTTTCTCACTTGAGGGAAAATCTGTGAAAAATCTTTTCCCACTTGTGGGAAAAAGCATGAAAATCTTTCCCACTTGGGGGAAAGTCTGTGAAAGTATTTTCCCACTTGTGTGAAAAGGTGTAAAAATATTTTCCCAGTTTTGGCACACTTTTTCACAATTTGTGAAATGAAAAGGAATTCCCTGGGAAGAGAAGAATGTGAAAAGATTTTCCCATTTTGGTGCTTACTTTCAATCGCAATGTACTGTATGTACCATGTCAGTCCCAGTTGCCATCTTTGGGCATTAGAGGAACCCACAATATCAACTACATGTAGCTTGGCACATAACAAGAACAATAGATAATTTTGATGCTTATGGTTTTTGCCAGTGGGGGGGAAGGCAACTGTTTGCCCAGAGGCCAGCCCCTCGCCCCCCCCCCACTAAAGCAACAGCCTTATACATGTACAATGTGCTCAACTAAAAAAATAGAATATTGGAATTTCTCAGCTTTTTAAAATGTTCAACAGTTGCAACATTTCTTTTAGATAAAAGACCAAAGAAAAAAAAAAGTTTATCTAGTAATTTCCTGCATAGTCCTTGGGATACCTTTCCTGGTTGTTTTGAACGAACGTTGGTGCATGTTATGGGGGTTTCTTAATTTCCTTTTGGTTCTTCGTGTGTATGGGGAGACAAACTTGTCTACAATTTATTTTGTGAAACTTCCAAAAACAACTTTGACCTAACTGCAAGTGATGAGGTATTCCTCTTATAATAAATAACTTAATAATACATACCTCGATATTAGCAATAATGTTTTCAGCCAAATCAAGGACTTCAAGATCTTTGAGATGACCGATGTTGGTGATTCGGCTGATACAATTACTATACAGGTGTAGGATAACCAGCTTCCTGCATGCAGTCAATCCTTCAATCACCTAAAGTTACGAGGAAGAATGTTACACTTTGAACAAAGCAATCCAGAAGAGACAACACTAGCATATCCTCGCAGTTAAAGAACTTATCTCCATCCGCTGTCACTGACTTCATATCTCAGTCTGTAACAACGATGTGTGATTGACAAAGCAACAAGTGACTTTGTTTTTTGGGCAGAAATTTAATGTTACCACACTTATTCAGATGATAACATCATCACTTGAAAAGTCAGGTCTTAGGGGTAAAAGCATTCAGCTCTTCCATTCAAAAGTAGTCGTATACAACACAAAGTGTATATGTACATGTACAAAAATGATGAGTAAAAACAAAAAAGACCACTGGATGTACATATGTATATAAACAGAGGAGCAAAGAGTGAGATACATCATTAAAGAATAATAAAAGATATTACATAAAATATTGATCTGGAAAAGAAACTAAACTTTTGTCTGGACATCATTCAAGTCATGATGGGAAAATATTTTCAGTTGTTTACCCATAATCTTTCAACACTGACAAATGGTCCAAAATGAAGAGCTTTTAAAATGCAAGTTTTACCTTGACTTTACATTCACAAATCCACAACTCTTTCAAGTGGTTGCAGGTTGAAAGTCCTTCAATCTTAGCAATTTCTTGTCCCATTAGAATTAGCATAGTCAAGTTCGGGAAGAATTTCATTCCTGTGATACTTTGGTAACCAGAGAAAAACATCTCCAATGATGTTACTGTATCATCACCTCCTTGGGAAAGCTTGCTTAGTTTGACTCCATTGGCATAACACTGTGAAGTAAAACAGAGACGAGGAAGGAAATAAAGGTACAAGTACATGTACATTACTGCAATTATAACAGCATACATGTATTTGCCAGATATCATACTTCATACCTTTCAGCCACTGAAAACAATTTAAGACCTGCTACCACAAAATGAACATACATGTAAAGTCAGATTTTTCAAATTCAAGCTTTTGGTATTTTTGAAACCTGCAATAAAAGAGCTTTCTAATGATGTATAATCTATTGGGGTATGACCCCATCTTCTCTTGTTAGAACCTTGGAAATGTTGAGTCTGCATTTTACAGAATAGTTTCCAAGAAAAGAGGCTTCAAAGATGTTAAATAAGAAATCACCCAGAGTAAGGATTCCTAAAAACGTGCTAAAAATAAAGCAGGCCATACTGTAAGCTTCTAGGCAGTACCAAATTGTTTTGGTAGGTGTAGTGGAATGGGGTGAAAGCACCAATCTAATACTGCATGTTTTGTCATTGTCAATGTCTTTGTTTCAAGATTTCTGAAGATTATGAAAACGGTCACCACAATAAAAATGAGCTGAAAATATACTTTTTTGATTGCAGAATTGTCCCAAAACTACAGCATGGGTAGAAAGTAATGTGTAGATGCAAATAGTCATAAAAGAAAAAAATCGACCACCCCTTTGAATTTTGACTTTTTCCCACCGTACAGTGAAACAACACCGGGCCACTTTCCACCCATTTTGTGGTAGCAGAATTTTGATGTTTAAGAATTTTGACGGAAAACACATGATGTTCCACATCATCAAAAATGCTGTCGCATATGTTGCACTCAAAAAATTCACATGCTGTTCATTTAGCTGTCAGTTTTGGAGACAACCCCACTCAAAATTACATAAAAATTTAAAAGTCAGGGCATTTGATTTTCATCACCACATATTTTATGTTTCGAACGTCTTTTTTTTCAGAATACATAATAGTTTGAAAGATTTTATTTTGACAGATCTTGGTACAAAGAGAAAAAATTCGTGAAGGAGCTCATGAGTATTGAATGAAGAAAAGGGTGCACCTTCTGAGCTGAGGTTAAAGGTGAAACAGCCTACAATGCACAAAATGTTTCTGGAATGTCTTCATCATCGGTATTCTGGACTGCAGTGTATGGAAATGTACTTGATGAAAATGCAGTTCTTCAAGGATGATGGTGAGGGGGCCTTTTGTACATTTTTCTCAAGCTCGTGCTGTAGATTGCTTCTGATTTTCCTTGCTGGTGTTTAATTCTTGGCATTTTGAGGGAATCAAATGATGTTTGCATCTGCCAACTTGGGACATGATCATTAATAAGACATATTTTGTTTTTGTGATTATGGTTTTAAAGTAAGTAAATATTATCATCTGTCACACTTAAAATCTGTTCAAAAATTACAGGGGCAATTATTACTGCCCGTTATTTTTTAGGTACTAAAGATTACAGGTTGTTCATGTCTGTCAAAAATGCTGACAGTTGAGACTTAATTATTCAATTCTGATCAATATGAGGGATGGGCACAGGAGCGGTAACATTCATGAATCCCTCATTTCATCATACACTAAAGCTGGTTACATTATGCGTAAGGAAATACACATAGGATATTTGCAAACCTAGACTATTTCTAGTCCTTGGAGTCTGCTATTAGTGCAAATCACGTACACAATTCCTAGAATACGCATAAGCCTCTATGGTGCGAGATTACACGGTAACGTGTGGGACAGTCTTCATGCAGCATTGGCGTAAGTTAAGCCAATCGATTGAGTAAACTATGGCTGCAGCTTGTGCCTGCAGCAATATTAACGTTTTTCAACATGATCTCCATTACATGTTCATTGCCTGTGCCAACTTTTCACAAACCTGCGGCAGCATCAAAGACTTGTGGTCTTATACCAGTAAAGAGACCTAAACATGAAGATACTTTCCCAAACTGGAGAAAAACAGCCGTCAAACACTGGACAGGACATTTTAATAAGTTTAAGTTTATTGGATGTTTTCTCTACCAAAGACCACGGTTTGCTTTTTATAATGAAACCTACCGAAAACGACCAAGACGCCAGTCTATCTTTTGCAGATAAACAAACATAAAAGGGATTTTAACAGAATATCACGAAGAAAACATCAGTGTTATTTCACACTTCAGCAGGGAAACACAAGACTTGAATAAATTATCAAAACGAATGCAACTATATTTTCGATTAATGAGTGTATTTATTCTATTCCTTCCCACATAACACTGTAGCGATTGGTATGCTTTCCGCAGTCAGCAAAACACTGGGTTTTTTTCCTTATCGTTTTTTCTTTATCATAAAATGCACACTCATCTCATTCTCTTGCCCAAACTTGTTTTTTTCTTTTAAGTGCATTTGAGCTGCATCCATGAATGTGACTTTCACCATGTTCACTAGTTTCAGAAGTTTGGATACATGTATTGCCTATTTGGTGTTTGTCTTTTTACATACATGTACATGTAGTTTACCAACAGCTAACAATAAAGTGAGAAGTTCCTTATTCAAAGTACATGCAAATCATAACCATATACATGTGCACAACCATCTTCAAGTTCTAAGTCATGACCCACAACTGATTCTGCTGATTACAAACCATGCTCTCTTTCCCTGAAAGAAATCAGACAGTAGTGTTGATCCATTAATTCATTCATTTTAAAATATTAACTTGTACTTGAAAATGGAAATGTTTTGAGTTGTTTATGAAATTTTTAAATATTTACTTTTTTCTTCACGGTTGCTTCATTATTTTTTGCCGACATTGAATTCTTTTTGACTGGGCATGTGGCCTAGTAATTAGGGTTTGCAGCTTCTGATCATAGTATCAGGGGTTCAAATCCAGCTGGTGGCAGCATGTTGTGATCCTGGGCAAGCCACTTTACTCCTATATGCCTCTCTCCACCCAGGAGTAAATGGTAACACGTGAGGGCAGACACGGTTATGTTTAGCCATTTGCCCCAAAATGGCAACACTGGGTTAGTACACCTCCCAGGGAGCTGAGATGGTTTCAGGAACGTTCATATGATGTGTGAGCCCAATGTGCAAGGATAATAATGGCGCTTTGAAACGTTGTAGAAAGCGCATTACAAACGTTGTAATTACTATTTATATTATCACTTAATTACTCTGACATGTTCACTATGTCAACTTTAACTGTAATCTGTTGAGTATCAGAGTCATCATTATTTCACTGAATCATTGCTTCAGACATCCCCAGTTCAATTTTGAGTTGAGTTGATCACAGGTATCACTTTACTCTGACAATACTCAGAGTATTTAAAAATTTGACGCATTACGGTTTTGTTGCACTCTATATTGATGGGTATCTCTAGCAGGCTGGGGAAATATGTGGTACATGTAGGTCTTGAGACCATTTTTTTCTGGTCTCTGTCTTGGTACCCTGCGATCTCGGTCTCCTCCCCCGTGGTCTTGGTATTTTGCTGGTCTTGGTATCCAGATCACCAGTATTGTATGCAAACATGAACTTGCACTCACTGTGCAGAATCGATTACACTCGACTCAAGATCATGTGTACACTGTAGAGTAGTATTGCTATCATTATACACATACAGTATATGATACAACCTTGTTTTTTTCTGTCCCTGCAAACATGCCAATACTTAACATGTAAACCTGCATGCTGATTTCATGTCTGGGAACAAGATAGTAAATTGCATGAAATACGTACTGTATAATGAGGCAGCGATCAGCAGCACTTTGTGTATATACATGTACAGACACCATATTTTCTTTATATTGTGCCATTGTGATAAATTCTGCCTCTGCGCTGTTAACATTGCCACCCAACTAGTGCTGCAGCCGAACTACCAAACTGGATGTTCAGCTTTAATATGGCATGACATTGATAGCACTGAGAATGAAAACATGATAAAAAAGCAAACACAACAAAAAAAGGATAACGAGTTGTGCTACACTGGCACTTGGCACGTGTGTGTACACACGTACATGTACTATACATGTACTGTACATACATACTGTGCATACATGTACATGTAGAGTAAACTTACAACGGCCCTGCATCACACGATGGTTGTAAAAAGCACGTGGTGAGAATTTACCAATAATGAACCGGCAACATGCAACGTAAGGCATTTCCGCTGCACAACAATTCTAAATTCTTACTACATCCAATTGTGCTTACATGTATGTACAGTTCAACTATCGGTAACCCACATGTAATCTTCACCCATATATATTTGGTTTGGTTATTTGCAGTGTGAAGGCCAGTACATTGCGATTGAAAGTTAACACCCAAACGGGAAAATTTTTTCACATTTTTTCTCTTCCCAGGGAATTCCTTTTCATTTCACAAATTGTGAAAAAGTGTGCCAAAAGTGGGAAAATATTTTCACACCTTTTCACACAAGTAGGAAAATATTTTCACAGATTTTCCCCCAAGTGGGAAAAGATTTTCACGCTTTTTCCCACAAATGGGAAACAATTTTCATGCTTTTTCCCACAAATGGGAAACAATTTTCCTGCTTTTTCCCACAAATGGGAAAAAAGGTTCCCAGATTTTCCCACAAGTAAGAAATGATTTTCACAGATTTTCCCACAAGTGGGAAAAGATTTTCACAGAATTTCCCACAAGTGAGAAAAGATTTTCGCACTTTTTCTCACAAGTGGGAAAAGATTTTCACAGATTTTCTCTGGTAGTGGGGAAATAATTTTGCAAGCTTTTTTCATTTAGTAGTATTTGTGCATGTACACGTAGACATCAGAAGTTTTTGTTCTCTGTGGTTTCAAAAATGCACATCTGTGAATATTTAAAGTGGAGGAAAATCAGTCTGAGAGAAAAGTTCTTCAATTCTCAGGAATATTCAGATTACTTGAGGAAGACAGCATTAAAATTTCAACGCAGTATGTTTCTCGGTTTTGAGCAAAATACAACGTGACAGGAGAAATCAAAGCTGGCTATGGTGGAGGTTGGAGACAAGCATTGAACACCGAACAGCTGAAGTACAGTAAATTGCCGT